TTGATTGTTTATTTACCTCTTCTCAGAAAAGAAAGTATTACATTTCATGCCAACAAAGAAAGACACATAACATAGATGCAACTCACCTTTTATCATAGTCAAAGAAATACTGAAATGATCCAGCACTTTGGAGATTGACTTCACAGAAACTATCGGACTGATCACATTTGCTCTTAGAATGCGACTGCCATGCTAATTCATAGTATTCTCCACGATCAAACTTCTTATCTGTAGATGGTGGGTGATTGCAGAAGACTCTCACTTTCCTGTGTTGTAAGGAAGGGCCAAGGATAAAATGCAATTTCCAGCCTGAAATAAAACATACATGTAAGATTGGGTACTGTGAACTATTTTATTTTTGGTAATACTTATTTTCTGATATATTTTATGATTTGGACAGCATTAGAAGTGTTCATGCTACACAAAGTACCGGTATGGGCTAAGATTTAAGCTAAACTCATATTTTTGCATATCGAAAAAAATGTATTTAACCTCTTCCCCGTGCTAAGAAAATGTGTGTGAACGCTACTATTGAAAGCACAACATTGACAACCATGGGCCACTATTGTCTTGCATTGTTGTTGTAGGAGGGGTTTCTGTAAGTCTAAAATCAAAAAAGATGCTCCATCGTTTATGTTATAAATTATTAACAATGATAATTACACAACTGGAATTTGAATAATCTACAGTGAGTAGACCTTTAGTGTCATTGTCCATTGCTACAACAGAATCTTTCAGTTTTCTCATAATACCGGTACCGTTGAAAAAGTTTTTTCAAAACATTTTCAAAATAGTTGCCCTTATATTTACGAACATAGTTCACCTTGCTAATTATATGCAAGTAGGGCAGTAGGATATTTAATTAGGTGATTTATTTTTACAATTTATTTTATAAATTACACATAATTAAAATATGTAATCTAAATCGTGTGTATGCTATATAACACAATGGTTATGTAACAATGCGATACAATGTAATTTAACAATGTATAACAGGGGTAAACAACAATGTAACAAGAAATTATATGGTTAATATGGTCACTCTCAGACAACTAATAAACAGACTAGCAATGTCGTAAGAATTAATGTAACAGAATGGTTAATGCACGGTTACTAAAAAAGTTCTTTAGTAACTGTGGTTAAGGCAATGGAAGTTTGCAACATAATAGCTATTGTAAACATCGCAACTCAATGATTAAT